TATAAATTAACTTCTCCGACTTCCACTATCACACACATCTTCTTCCTTATTCCCAGTGGGTGGTTAAAAAAGATTTATTCAGCAATTTTGTATTCTCTCCCACTATCACAGGCTTCTTTCTCATTCTTAGTGGCGGTTAAAAAAAATATATTCAGCTATTTTTTATTCTCTCGCGGTGTAGGAATTGTTTACTCATATTGTATTCTTTAGTTTACAGAATCGATTCAAAAGATGCATAAGAGTTCTTTTATTGGTTGCACGCATTGAACCAGATAGGTTGGAAATACAGAGTGTTCGGACTTGAACTTACAACCAACATATTGGAAATACAGAGTGTTCGGACGTGAATTTACCACTAACATACGAATTACATGAGATGATTATTCATTTACAGGTAATTATTGTATTAATTAGCTATTTATAATTATAATTACATATAATTTTGTATATGTACAATTAATTAATTGTAATTTACTATTTTTCATCACATAATTTAGTATATGTACAATGAATAAATTTATAATGGTAATCTATCATTTTTTTATTATTATTATTTCATCACAGGGAGAACAATTGGATATTTTGTTATTTCATCGCAGGCAACAATGGGATAGAAAGATACAAGAAGAACAGTTGAAAAGAAATATTGAAAACTGATGTAGCTTCCCTAAACTGTCGATGTCCCAGAAATATTGGTTTCATATATATACGATTGGTTATATGTGATAAAAAAATTTGTTTGTTGTTTTTTATGTGATGGAAATAATGAATAATATTATATATGTTTTGTTATTGTGTTCTTCATCTTAATTTATTCACGTGATTGGTTGTTTTATATGTGATTGAAATATTTGTTTGTTGTTTTTTATGTGATGGAACGTTGATATATAAATTAATTTTAATAATGAATAATATTATATATATATATATATATATATATATATGTTTTGCTATTGTGTTCTTCATCTTAATTTATTCTCTTATTTTTCTCTTATTTTCTAAATTGTTATATATAAGAAATATAATTTATTCAAATTTACAGCCATTCAAACATATATTCAACCTATTGAATTTTAGATTTGTTGAACGATAATAAAAATAATCAAAAAAAAATATTTCATTATAATTTTGGTATATAATTTATAATATAAGCAATGATTTTTTTTTTTTAAAAATATGATTACGAATATAGATACATTAGGAACAAAACGATCCATTACAAAAATTGTAGCTAATGAAATAAATTAGTAACGGATATTTCCATTTCTGATTTGGTTGCTGATAGTAAATATTAGGAACAAATATATCAGTTGCAGATTTGGTTACTACTACTCCACTATTAGGAACGATTTTTGTTTGTTGCAAAAATCGTTGCAAACAGTAACAAAATGTTTTCCGTTTCTGAGCATTAGCCACCCTGTTTTCACTAACCAATTATGAAACGGAATTTGTTTGTTTCTGTTGTATATTAGTAACAGAAAAATACCCTTCAGCAACAATAATTTTTGTTTCTGAATCTCTAATTTCTAGTAGTGAATGAACATGTTATTTTATAAAATGAACATGTATAAACATGTTTACATATATTCATTTTATAAAGTAATATGTTCATTTTAAAAAAACTTTGGCACACCTTGCTAGGTGTGCCCTGTATTTGTGCAACACAATTGGTTATGACCCAAAACCCAAGCGGATCATGATCCAAAATCTGTGTCCACCCAAAATATGGCCACAGGCCTACAGCCCACAGGTAAGGCCTATACCGGGCTTAAGCTATATTAATATCTTTTGGATATAGACGGCCGAGGCCTGGTATTCTGGAGCCCATTGGACTGTGAGTCCTTATTATACTCTCGACATACCAGTTTACCACTTTCTAATTTTGTTCCTACATTCCTATTTTAACCCGCGATATCTCTACCGTTTGAATCGAACAGTAACCTACCAACCCGCCTTCGATTCGAGCTAAGCCCCAAATCCTTCTCACGAGAATTCACAGAGTTGCGAGCTCCAGAGTTGCGAGCTCCAGAATGAACGCAGGTAAAGTTTCCTGTAATTATTTTGAACTCGTTAATGGTATGCTTATTGCCTGCCTCTTGTATTCCTGTTTGTTTGTTGTTTGTCTGCAAATTTATGATTCTGCTCAAGGTTTTGTAATCACGAAGCTGAATATTGGTTCCAGTGGTAGATTATTTATTCGTTTTTTCGAGAACGTAATCCGGAGAATATGTAATCGAGCAATCGTTTACGGGAGAAGCAAATTGGTTATGAGAAAGTGTCAATTAGCTGCTAGTGAGTTGTGGCGGTGATTGAATCAACAGTTACGGTGATAATTTTGTATTCTCATGTTCTATTTGAGGAGTCCTTGAATATTCATGGTGATTTGACTGTTATCCTACCCAAGTAGCTGGAAGAAATGTGCTGTAACAGATGTTACTATGAAATTCTGATTTAGCAACGATTGAATAAGGATTTTTGCTTCTGTCTTTGGCTTTTTGTGTTATTTAATTTGCAGGTATACAAAGAGGAAGGAATCAGACAATTGCTGTTTGACAAGAACAAATGTAAGGTGAGAATTCGGAAAACTTGAGACCGACAAAAACACTGTGTTCCCTCATTGCTAAATCTAGCTACGACAGAGGTTCCTTTAATGCTGGAGGAGGACATATTGATTAGCCAAAACTAGCTACAGCACTCTCAAAAATAGAAGTTAGGTCGGTAAGACTTGTGCCTAATGTTTTGCTCCTTGGTTCACACGTTTGTTTATCCTAGGCAGTTGCTTTCTGGTTCACATATGGTTTGCCTGGCAGAATAACTTGCTGATATTGATCACAAAGTGTCTCTACTTCTGACAGTATTGCAAGCAATAATTTTTCAGTGTCTTCTATTTTGGTTGTTTTTGATGTGCACTATGTAGTTTTCGGACATATCACAATCAGAATTAACTTCAATTTATACCTCGTGATAAGCCATTTCCTGGTTTTGAGTGAATTTTAGAGTATGAAGTGTGTCTCAATTAACTGGATACTCATAGGAAGGAATTTTCTCCTCGAGAAAAAAAACTTTAGATTTTAACGACACCATCACAGATTCATTTAACTATTGCACCGAGAGATAACAAAACGGACTGAAATCTTCAAGTGAAGACAACATATGACTTTATAAGCCTCAGCACAAAATAGGAGAACTCGAGAAAATCAGTCTGCGTACTTGATAATATAATTTAGGCCAAGTCACTGCAGGGGTCGTCCTCAAGCCCATTGAGCCCAGGGTAAGGACTGTTGAGCTGCATGTTAGTAATCATCTCACGAAGCTCGAGAGTTTCCTCTTTTAACCGGGCATTCTCCCGGACTACTTGGTCGTGATTTTCACACACGTGATTCAGCTTGTTGACGAGCTTGTGATTCTCATCCCTGAGCCACATGACCTGGGACCAGAGCTCGTCCAAGTGCTTCTGTTTGCGCATGCGGGACCGACGTGCGGATTCCCTGTTCGAGATCATCCTCCTCTGCCTCCTCTCGTTTATTATGCTCAGCTGCTGCTCGTCCGCTTCATCGGAGGTTGAGTTACTGCTGAGGCTCGTCTGTTGTGGGGTGTTTAGTTCTTGGAACTGGGTGTTGTTGTTGAGTTGGTATAGAGGGTTTATGAGATTGCTAAATTGATATGCTTGTATGTTGTTATTGCTCAAGCCGAAATTTACAGGGAAGTATTGGTTTGGGTTTGAAGGGAATAGATAAGAGAGGTCTGTAATTTCATTGGGTTGCATTCCTTTAATATTTAATGGGGAAAATTTATGGAGAGAAAGATTATGGAATGAGTTCGGGGAGATGTTAAGGTGGAAATCAGCTGGTAGTTGAAAGACAAAGCGAGACTTCGTGAATTTATAGGGAGGGAGGATATTGTGGTGCGCGTGGGCCACATGTTTGGAGATTAAGAGCACAGTGGAATTCCTTAAAGGGGACTGTTTTGCCAAATATATGCATGTGGTTATGTAGCATCCTGGATTTGAACTTTGTGTATATATGTATATGCATTTGAGTTTTAGTACATGTATATGGCTGTTGCATGTCTTACATGATTGTCATGGACCATAATCTAGGGAATCCATATGACGATGCTACTATATCCTGGTTGAGTATTGGATAATCTAATTGAAACGGAAAATGACAAAAAAAAAAAGTGCTTACATCATGAAGAGAGAGGAATAATTGATGTGGAAGGAAACGACCCAGGAAGAAAATGGGTCGATAAGTCAATTTAAAATAATGGTGATGATTGTCAGCCAAGTGAAATGTTTTCTACTGTATTGGGTTTTAGCTAGCTTGGGTGACTTCGACGAATAGGAGGACATTGGGGGATTACAATCCCTTTTTTCTCAAAGTGGAAACTTGCTAGAAGAAATTAGTGACTCAAGAACCACTTTTTTGTTAAACTGTTACTAATTTTAAATATATTAGATGTGTGCACTCTCTTGTTTTGAGCCTTTTTTGTGTTTCTCTTACCATTGGTTTTCTTGGGTTTCATCTCTAGCCTACCCCAACTTGCTTGGGACAAAAAGGCTATGTTGTTGTTATTGTTGTTGTGCACTCTCTATTTCGATCATATTTCAATATTCGTTGGATTCCTTGCTCTGGACATTGTTGGAAGCATTAGTGTGTTCAGGAGTCATATCATTGTAGACTGAAATGACAATTTCATTAGTTATAAACAGGGTAAATATAGTGTGGTTAGTAGCTAATCTGATCATTTTTTTGTCCATTTCAATTCCATTTGGATTGATTGAGATTCCATTTACTTCTCTGGAGCCACGCCCACAAGTATCAATTTATAAAGTGATTGCTTTTACGCACTTACCATTAACAGGTAACGTGATTTTTCTAGAATTTCTCAACCTAAAAAATATAATATCAGGAGTAACTGGTTATCTGCTTAGACTTGCAGAAAATATCACATGAAAGATTTAACTATTGTGTCTATTCAAGTGAGATGTAATAATACATTCTGTGGTAATAAAAGGCAGGGCTTATCTTGCAGGTCGGTGAATTATATATATGGATTTGAAGTAGTCAAGATGATGAATATAAAAATACATGAATATGCACGAAGGTCAATAATTGTTAATGTTTTTGCTGCCATGAGAAAATCATTGCAGCAGAATCACTTCTGAATGTCTTGTGCCCCAACAGGTGCAGTGTTTACTGGAGTTGTTGTACTTTCGTTTGTTAATTACTTTAGTGTGTTGATGACTTTAACAAAGACGAGGTTCGATTTTAACCACGATTTATCTTACACGTTTTTACGCAGATATGGAAAAATCTTGATGGTGATGGTGGTGGGGGCTGGGAACGTGCTAAGCATATGGCTGTACTTGGAATTGCATTCCCCCATTAAGAAAAAGGAAATCTTAATGCATCATGAAGGAAATTTCTTATGGAGGTAAATGCTTACATGTTGGGTCATATTGAGTGGCCTTAACAGTCAACAAGATCATCGAACAAAATTTGACTCCTCTTTCTTTTCTTGTCCCAATCGGGCGTTTCTGGTTTTACTTTCTGCAATCCTTCATTTTTTGTCCCTAATGATTTTTTTTTTTACCACTACCGTATTGGAGATAGAGATATTGATGATTGTTGTCGTTGAATACGTACTTCACACCACCATTTTTGTCCAATGTACTTGCATTAACTCTTTCTGAAAGTACCATTTTCCCCTCTTCACTCTCAATCACAGCCTTTTGGGTCAGTAGTTTACTCTTGCCCAGTTTGTCTCTTTCGTTAACATTTGCATGTCTTTGTCATTGGGTTTACGCATTTCTAACAATTATGCATCGATTTTTTTTTTTTTTTTTTCTGCTTTACATACGAAATTGATACATGCATGTGTATGTCCTACGCTAATCAACATGTTTTCTTTTTCTAAGAATTATTTCAGTATGTTTAAAAGCTTTGAGAATGCTTTCAAAACTTTAAAGCTTCACTTTATGTGATTATTTAGCAGTTGCACGTTTGGGTAGATGTTTTCAGGTGACTTTAGTAGACACATTGGCCAATTTTTTTAAAAAAAATTAAAGATTCGGAGACGTAAGATTTGATTTTCTTCATCCCATCTTCCTACCTAACACAAGGAAAAATAAACAAATAAAAGTGGAGAAAAAGAGAAAAAAAAAAAGAGATGGGGTATGGTTTTCAGTGCCTTATGTAACTATGTTGATGTGAAATAAATGATTAAGTGCCAATGTCCCATATTACCCACTTGGGTTAGAGTCTTTTGTTGGCATATCTTATCCTTTTTCACAAAAAATCGGACTGTGTCTCATCTTTTTATCTGGAAAATGCTACAGTCCTACAGTCCTGTTACTGAATCATTCAATCGGAGTTTGTAATCGTTAGATTATTATGTAACCGTCGGGGATAGTTGATCTAACGGTTACGAACTCCGAAGGAATGGTACCGTAACTGGACCGTAGCATCTCCCCTTTTTATCCTTATATTTACCTCTATTTGTACCTCTATTTGTGATTTTGTTCTTCTCCATTTGTGAAAAAAATAAAAAATAAAATATTACGTTGTGTGGGAATTAAAAAAATGCTAGGAATACTTATGTGAACATATGGGAAACACTGCCCTAAACTAACGGTCAGGGTAGTGACCTGAGGGGGCCTGGATTTAACATGTGCTGCTTTGCCATTTTTTAAAATCCAAAAAAGTTTGTGTAAAAAGGAACATCTTATAAAAAAAAAAAAAGACTTTTCCTTTTTCCTTTAATTATTTATTTGGCTCAAATGTTTATTTTGAGGCTGGCAGACTAGGAAAGTGAGTGCACATGATGATGCATTCAGCAAAAATATTAGACGGGCAAGAAAAAAATAAATATGTAGGGACTAAGTTTTGTTAGAATGCTTTTTTTTTTTTTT